GGTGGTTGTACACACACATTTCAGTTCAAACAACTTGTAAAAGTGTATGTAACATCCTATGACCCCTTTAAAAGCTGGACATTTTAGGCAATTTAGAAATCCCAGCCAGGGCATGTCCGGGAAAAAACGAAACAAAAACAACTCACTACTGTGGCACAATAACCAAAATAAATACAGTTCTTAAAGCATCTATAAATCATGGAAACATATTTCCTATTGAAAACAGAAAAAAGTCAGAACACCAAGGCTCCAAAAATACAAACATTTCATGGGATAGTCTGTTATTTAAATTTTTGTATTTTTGGAGCCTAGGTGTGTCGACTTTTTTCTGTTTTCATAAATATATTTTGTCGAGCACCCCGTTTGAGTTTTTCCAGTGATGTGTGTGCTTTTGTTTTGATTTTGGTTTAGCACATTTCCTACTCCTATGAATGTGACTTTAGGACGAAAATGTATTTAACTGTCATGAACAAATGTCACAATGAAAAAAAAAAACTTTACTGTCCTAAGACAAATCAATTTTCTTTTATGGAAAACGTTTTCTTTTGATTTTGCAGTAAGTGTGATCCAGACATGATTTTGTGATTGCCTCAGCGGACTCGGAGGCAGAGCTGTTGTGTAGCCTATAAAGTGATCTCCACTGAGCCAATCACATACATATGTATGTAGCCAAAAATCATCTTTGACCTGTTCATCAGCCTGCTGGAGATCACAAAACATGACTCCTCATCGGCACTATTACTACTAGTTCACAGCACAGGGCTCGACGGGATCACCTTGAGTCAGTGCCCCAGTGCATGGCGTAGATCTTCGCCAAGTGTCCCCTCAGTGTCCGTCTAGTGCGCATCTGAATCCGCCCCACAGGCTCAATATTGGCTGTGATCTGCCAGAAACACATGAGAACAAAATCTAGTTCAAAAGAGAGCCAACTGAAACTCCATCCGAACACAACAACATGATTTGAGAAGTGACGGAGGTTTGATGTTTAACGAGTCCTACCTGAGAGAGGGTGGCATCCGCACATGCTTTCCGTGCATCCTTGAGAAGAAAAACACAGATAAAGCCACAAATACAAAACCTCGGACAGAGAAGAATCTGTCTCGGAGGACAGACATGCAAAAGAAGTGTCATAACCAGGCACCACCAAGAAAGCCCACAGTATGCTCTGCAGTTTTTGTGCCAATGAGCTTTTCCTGTGGTTGAGGCTATGCAGCATCACATGACTGAAATATTTCAGAGTGCCTGGCAAAAAGTCTTGTCCTTTGTCACAGTTAAGATAAAAACTAGCGCAAAAAGACTAGCGCAGCCCTGGTTATGACACTGCACGTCAATGTTCGAGTAAAAACAAATTAGTGAGGGAGTAGCTATAATGAGTGAATGTGCAAGGCTGTGCTGATAAAATCAGATATGGCAATTCTTTTGTTGACAATATTGTATGAACACACATAAAGTGGCTCTCAACTCGTGGGTTGCAGGTCTGTTCTGACAGCAGAGAAAAACCTAATCGAATCCAACAAACCATGTAATCATGCGTGGTCAGGTTACAAAGCAAAAAGCCTCAAACTTTTGTTAACATCACGGTCCAATCAACCTCCACAAATTGAGCCATGGGTTAAATTCCCAATGAACAGCTTACAATTAGGGCTGGGTATCGATTCAGATGTCCCGATTCGATTAGATTTCGATTCGATTCTCGATTTTTTTTTTATTACATTCAGTGAATATAGTTTTAATACCAATGTTATTGATATTTCTAAAAAGTGAACAGTAAACATCAGTTTACAAATGGTGAATTAATAAAAAGAAATTAAGCCACATGCCTGTATTTTAAACCTATTCTTTTTTTTGTATGGGTCCTTTTTTAAACAATAATAGGGCCCTATAAAATGTTCTTAATTTTTCTGGTAATCAGATGAAGGCATAAAACAT